ATCTTACCTCTTTTTTATCTTCTCCTTCATTGATTTGTTGCCATCTCTTCTGCTGCTCTTCCCACTGTTGCTGCTTCCTCCATTTCTCTTCTTTTTGCCTCTCCTCCTCTCTTTGCTTAGCTTCTGCACTGTCAGTCTGGCTCTCTTCTTTATTCCACATTTTATCTTCAGACTTCTTAAAACTGTCGGAACTAATGCTTTCAAGAGGCTTTTTCTCGACTTTTGCCCCCAGTCTCCGCGCGCCCATGCGTTCTCCCAGTTTTTCCCGTGGCTTCTTCATGCCAATCTTAGACTCCCGAATTGGCTTGGCTTTCTGGCTCACCGTTTCTGATTCCTGAGTGGTTCCTGCATTCTTCTCTTGCTCTCCCCTCTTTTCTTGTTCTCTTTTAATCTCACTTTTTCTCTCTTCTTCCTTTTCTAACTCTCTCTTCCTCTCTTCTTCCTTATCTAACTCTCTTTTCCTCTCTTCTTCCTTTTCTAATTCTCTTTTCCTCTCTTCTTCCTTTTCTTCCTCCATCCTCTTTGCCTCTTCTTCTCTTTCCATTTTCCTTTTATTTTCTTCTTCAATCTCTTTTTTCCTTAATTCTTCTCTTTCAAGCTCCTTTTTTCTCTTTTCTTCTCTTTCAAATTCTCTTTTCCTCTGTTCTTCCTGTTCTAGTTGTCTTTGCCTCTCCTCTTCTTTTAGAATCTGTCTTTTCTTCTCTTCCTCCCTCTCAATTTCCCTCTTTCTTTCTGCTTCCTTTTCTATCTGCCTTTTCTTCTCTTCTTCCTTTTCTAGCTCCTGTTTCTCTTCTTTCTTTTTTCTCTCTTCTTCCTTTTCCTGCTCTCTTTTTCTCTCTTCTTCCTTTTCTAACTCTCTCTTCTTTTCTTCTTCTCTTTCTAGCTCTCTCTTCCTCTCTTCCTCTTTCATAATCTCTCTCTCCTTTGCTTGATCTTCCTCCACTGAACCATTGTGACCATCTTCATCTTCATCTTCACCTTCATCTTCATCGTCATCTTCCTCTACCATCTCATCCGTTGGTTTTGTTTTACTAACTGGCTTTGTGAGCTGTTTATTAACTCGCAAGCTCAATTGATCTAAAGCAGACATAAGATTGGTTACCTTGTCATCAAAAGTCTTTGTCTGTGGTTCCTCCTGAATTTCTTCTTCCGATTCATCATCTGCATCAAATTCCTCTGTGGGAGTTGCTTTTGAAGTTACAGGTTTTGACAGCTCTGTTTTGGTATCTTTGATGGACTCTGGTGTATTCATGTTGTCTTTTATTACTTCTTTTGTTGGAGCGGGGCATGATTTCACAGGCTGGACTTCACTCTTTGTTGCAGTTGTGCCTTGTGAATTCAAAGGGTACGAATCTTCAAAATCTGACCCTTCATCTGCAGACTGGAATTCATCCTCACTTTCTGACGACATGATTCTGAAAGTACAAAAAGGGAATCAGCTTGGCCACAAGATAATCAATGAGTCAGTCACTTCACTGAGACCTTTAAAAAATAGATGGTTATGAAGTCATGTATACAGATATGCTAAATGTATAATTTTAATCATTAACTTTCAATATAAAATTTTCTAGTTGTAAGTAATGCAAGTTGTTAGTGTGCATTTGCAGATTCTGCCATTTGTGTCCTGCTAATTCCATACTGCAAACTTAATTATAGGCACCTAATACCTTGTAGCTGTATTTCATATATAGAAGTGAAAAAATATGTGAAGGTTTTCCTTCACTTAGGTGCTTGTATCTAATAGTGACACCAAGCAAATGTAGCCACTACTATCTGAGAAAGATGAGTTTCCTCTGATGAGCTGATGGTGTGGGGTATATCATGATACAGTGCCATCTGCGACTTTGTCCACCACAACCTTTGCATGATTTCATGCCATCCACAACCAAATGGTATCAATAAGGGAATCTGTTTTTAAAAAATATATACCCTAATATGTTAAAATAACACCTGATTTTTTAGTACAAGAAAAGCTAGTCCGTTGCAGTTTCAATCTTGATATTTCCTCCTCCTTATGAGAAAAAACATCCAAAACTGCATGTAGTCAAATATATTCATTTTGATTAAATATTATGGCATGATTCATATTTATCTTACATGGCATTTACTTTCGAAACTGATTGATATATGGTTGATATATGGTGTAACTACCGGAAGGAAATAAACAATATTTGAAGCATTTACGTCTATGTACATGTATTCATATTCACAATACATTTATTGTTAAATACTGTTTCTCTTCGATGGTTTTTAATCCAAACTATAACTATATATATACATACATACATAAACAAAACAAAAACACAACACACTATTTTAACAAATTACAAAAACACAAAATACCAAACTACTTCGTCATGAATATGAAGAACTCAACATCAAAGACTCATTTAAAAATCTAACCTTTTTTTTAAACGTCTTAGAAAGTCTCCAACGTGAAGAAAGTTCCTCTCTTGTCAGCTGTCACAATAAACACGTCACAGAGAACCGTTCGCATATC